GCCTTTGAAAGGATTTCTTTTAGGTCTTGAACTTTTAATGCTCTCCTATAATATATGTTAGTGAGTTGATATAATGAAATTGATGAAGAATTTCACAGTTTCGTGTCCATTGTTGTTTGAAAGAAGAGTGTTACGTAAAGGAACGTGACAGCATGTGGGGGTGTGACCCAGTTGTGGATTAGTTTGTTTGAGGTCAACGCTTGTGCCAGCAGCCAATCAATGGGCGATCCTGTCGATCAGCTGCTCGATTCCGCTTACCATTACGCAGCTAGTCATCCTCCTCATCCTTCATCTCCCTTTTCTCGTCAATCTTCTGATATTTATAATCATCATTTTTATCATCATTCCCGAAACCCTTCCCCAGGTCCTTCTTCTCCCGCTCTCACAACTCATCGCAACTCTCCTGCAGATGACTTATTCTTACATCATCACATCGAACAAGACCAGTCTTCACACCAAAACACTCCAACAGATGATCACCAAGTAGATGAGGAACCTCTCTATGTAAATGCAAAACAATATTTTCGCATTCTCAAGCGTCGTGTCGCTCGCGCTCGTTTAGACGAAGTACACAGACTATCAAGGCAAAGAAAGGTCTGTTCAATCTAGTCTCATCCAACCAAATTTTTATCCTATTTTAGCCATATTTACATGAAAGTCGCCACAAACACGCAATGCGTCGTCCCCGCGGTCCCGGTGGCCGCTTCCTCACAGCAGAGGAAATCGCTGCTCAAAAGAATCAGGCCACCAATGCTCGTGACATTGCAGATGACGACGTAGACGACCAACCTCTCGTTGACAAGGAGGAGAATAACTCTCCTCCTACCATCGACGACCCAGTCCTACACGTAAACCCCTATGCCCAGCCCCCCTTTTCTGCCCAGCATCACTTGGCAAACACCACTGTGACAGCAAATCCGCCAAAGCTACCCGCCCCTTCATCTGCATCCGTTACCCTCCGTCCACCATATACCCCCGCTCAAATGCACCATGTTCCCCACCCTCACGCCCACGCCAGGCACCATCACTCTCATCTTAACTACTCAGAAGGTCTATATCCTACTGAAGAGGGTCCCTCTGGGACCGCTATGTTATCTTATGGTACCCGCAATCTCGACGCCCGTTGATTCAGAAGCTTTCACCTTTCTCTCTAGTTCTTTGTTCGTTTGCTTTGTTTGTTACATAGATGAGCAGTTCTTGTTTTTCGTACAGTTCATGTGTCGTTTTAGGATATTAATAAGTATCAAGGCAAACAAATGTGTGGGCGTGTCGTTCTACTCTATCTCCATCGCATCATCATCGCGCTCAAAACTCGCAGCACCAGCCGTGGTATTTTCCTCTACGGATTCGGCTTGTTCATCGACTTGTCGAGTAGGGGAAAGTGGCCGCAACGGCCGATACAACACCAAAGCGCCCCCTCCCGTACTGGGTGACGAGATGGGAATGATAGGCTGCGTTGTTGTCTGGTATTTTCGTATGCGCCGAAGCAAAGGCGTCGATATTGAATAGTGAGGAGCCGCCTTGGTCTTGCCAATGTCTGCACAAGCAATCAGGACTCTGATATCTGCCATAAACTCTAAAATACGCTTACAATCACCCTCGTCCAAAGTCTCCATGTTCACCTCGGGCGCCACGGCTTCGACTTCGTGCGGCGGTTCTTCGATAGAACTGGGGAGGACAACACTAGAAGGTGGAAATGTTGTAGATTCGAAAGATGAAGCAGTGGGATTAATGGGCGTAATCACCAGCCCACTCGTTGAGTTGGGGCAGACCGGCGCTGGCGCGAGCGTCAGGTGGGCAAACCCATGCTCCAGTGTGTTGAACTTGCATCGTTTGGCGCGGCTTATGGGGCTCGGCGGTGAGCGCTGATAGGGTGATGCACGGCGCTCGTCATCCGCATTAGACAGTTTACGCTTCAGAGGTGATGGATCGAACCAGGGATGATGGATGGCCTGAGCCCAGGTGGTCATTGTCAGATATACCTGCTTGCTGAATTCAAAACTAATGTAAATATATAATTCCAAGGTTACCTAAGCCGGACATACCGACGCCGCGAAGATTCCAGAATTAATATCACCACACTGAGCAAGAAACCGGAATTCTCGAAAGTCCGCCGGGTCTGCCTGTCCGCCCACCTGTCCGGCAGGGGATCCGTCTGTCCATCAGGTCTCGCATTGTGATAATGCAGCCAACAACACAATTAGGATAGATACTAAATAGATGCAGCATGGGGTCACTGCCTTCTTGCTCTAACTACCATCATGCTTACCAGTGAGGTGCCCACTGGCTTACCTGCCTCATCCCAGGACCTAGGATAGGGACTGGTTTAGCAAATTTAAATGTCTGTCGTATCAATCACACAGGGCCAGTTTAAATCCCGGTTCCGGACATCTTAGTCATCCATGGCTCCTTTCTTTGTCCTGCATCCAGCGTTTTTTTGACTTCATATGAGCGCACCTATTGGCGTTGAAGCAGTATTCTATGGGTCATTTGTTGCCTTGTCATACGTGTGGGGCTTTCCGAGCCACAACATCTTGAGATTTTGACTTGTGATGTGGATCAATCTCACAAGCCGTCAAATGTGATCTTTGCATGGTTTGCAGTTGACTTCTCCCTGGTAACTGATGGAGGTCCTGGGATGCCTGGAGGGATGTGGCGAATTCTTGTTAGCATTCAACTTCAACACCATAATTAGATTTCCTTTTTTGTATTGGACTCTTTATGTACGGCTTATAGTTTCTTTGTCTTCATTTGTTTGTACCTCAGCATCTTTATCCACAACACCGAGGTATGTCCAATGTACCCTGTGTTACGCTGACCGTCAGTCGGCGTGTGCGAACTAGGATAGGTCTTCTCAGCGACGACTCGAGTGAGTCTACTGAAGCTGAGGGTGGTTCTCGGCTTGACGGAACATCAAGGGTTCCTCCGGTGATCTCGGTAAGACAGTGCTTGTCAAGATACAGGGCTAGCAGATACGGCTAAGAAGCGGGGAGCGACTTAGAAGTGCGGTTTTAGGCAGCTGAGCTGGGAGGCTTAGCTGAACAAGTTCTGGGATGAACCTAGTAGATTAAAGTAAAGTCTAAGTACAATAATCTGTCTACTTATATGTGCTACATGTAAGTGTTCAAGCTCAGTCTGTAATCTATAGTATATCTAGGATCTATGATAACAAGACATGAGGTTCAGATAAGGTACATGAGGCTTAACCTCTGATCAAGCATGCAGCGCCAAGTGCGACTGCGCATAAGTACATGAGGCGCCAAGGGCGCTCCGGATCTACATGAAGCGGCATGCTGTATACATGCGCTGATCTAGGGTGACCATGAGGCGTACAGCCTCCATGGATCAGGTACAAGGCCATCTAGGCCAGGGGCGGTGTCACAGCGGTCCAGACCACTGTCTTTCTAAGTGCAAGTGGCGTGCCGCTGCGTCGGGAGCCTAGCAGAGCAGGGGCTGGCGTAGGCAGAGCTGGGGCTTCTGTAGGTGTTATGGATGCCTGTAACACCCTGCACACTGCTCTCGTCTCACATTATTTCGTCTTTAGATCTTGTTTCTAGGTACTTGGAATATTAGCATCTTTATCCACAACACTGAGATCTTGTTTCTAGTTTCACTGTTAACAGGTTATGAGCCCTGGTTCATTCTGCACCCTCATGCAAAACTATCAAACAGAATCTCTATCTGTGTTAGCCCACCGCTCTTATAATCAGTCTTATCATACTCCTCCACCACAGCGGCATTGCTATGGAGAAATTTGATCACATTCCTGAGTTGTTGGGATCAGAGAACTATGTTGGATGGTTGACAAAGATGCAATATGCTCTTGCATGTGAGGACCTATGGTGCCACACCTGATCCTGTCATATTAATGCATTACCATTGTAATTACAAGACACATGTTGTGCATTAATCATTGTAATGACTTATGACACATTTACATAATGATTACTATTAATTTTAGTTAGAGGTTGGGGGTTGAATGTTAGATGTTAGAGTGTTTGTTGGTTAGTTAGAGTTAGTTAGTGATTAGTTAGTGGTCAACTGTTAAGACCGTGCACAAAGGGTAGGACTGATTCCGAGGGGCTTGGCTTTAGCTCGTGCACTGCGCCCCTTACCTGAGTATGTGCCCTTAATTTCAGATGACTTCCTCTGCACTTACTAATACATTTCCACATGCTCGTACATAGCCTTACCCCTCTGCTTACTGATCTGCACAGACTTGCCTCCAGTATATAAACTCTTGTAGAAGCTCCTGTATTTCCTTAGTCTGAATATTACACATATTAGTCCTTGCACTAGATCTCACACTAAGTCTTCATACTAGTTCCTTACATCTGAATATCAACCTTAGGCCTAGGGAGGAATTCCCTAGGCTGGAGCTCCGCTCCTGCGCTCCTCCACTCCTCCAATCCTACACTCCTCTGAGTTTCCAGAAGTTCCTCCAGAACTTTCCTGTGGTCCTGCGGTCCTATTCTGATTTGGACTTTGTCCCTGCAGCCTTTCCTCTGTCTCCATTCTACTCGAGATTCATCCTGAGTAGCCATTACACATATCTGTACCAGGACGAAACCTCATAGTAATTTCCAGAAGTTCCTCTGGAAGTTTCTCGCACTCATCTGGATCTGGACAGTCCTTCTGGACTTTCCTGCGCTCCTTCGGAAGTCCTATGGACTTCCTTGGACTTCCTCTGGATGTCATCTGAAATTAAGGGCATGTACTCAGGTAAGGGGCACAGCACACGAGCTGAAGCCAAGCCCCTTGGAATCAGTCCTACCCTTTGTGCATGGTCTTAACATCAGCTATGATTATATTCTGTTTTGGAAAGTGAAAAGTGAAATTAAAAGTAAATTAAAGGCTGGTGCACTGATAGTTACAACACTTAATGCACAACATGAGTCTTGTAACTACCATTCAATTAATGCATTAATATGACACTATAGCCTGGGTGCCACATCAATGCGAATCCTGATCCTATGGACATTCTCGGAATTCCTTCTTTCATGTCTGTCCCCACTGATCTGTTAAATATCACTGCCAATGAGCAGACCCTCGTGTGTGAATGGCTCCTGAACAATATTAAAGCTAAGGACCTCATTACATGTCGTGTCAGCCCATCTGTCAGAGTGTTAGTGTTGCGATCACATCCCGTAAAGCATGGCAAATGTTACGACAAACGGTGTAGGGATTCATTTCTGGCTAGGCTTGTAGAGACTGTCTTTACCTTACCTTATGTTGGCACTTTGTAGCTTACATAAGGAAGTTACCTTTTCACCAGTTCTACTATGAGTCTGAGTATTCAGCAAGTTTTCATGATATTTCCTCTTCTCTGAGCCTTGAGCCTGGTCCAGAAACCCTTTAGGGTCGAATAGCAGCTAGGTTCTGCAAGACCCAACATTGTTCAGACTCACCATCAGAATTGTTGTACCTTCAACTGGAGCCCACCGCGAGGGTTTCTTGTGTTTCTAGGCTCTTCCAGCTCTCCAATCATCCCCCAAATTCGCCTATTATCCTACCACAGTCATTCCTTATCAGCTTCTCCCATATTCCCAAGTTTTCAGCATCTTGTCCTCCTCCCCAGCGCATTGATAAGCGTTTTCCTCACGCGTTTTTCGAGCGGATCTCTCGCAAACTTAGGGTCGTATTCCCCACGTCCGTCCGATCATTTTGAGCCCTGGCTCATCGAATTTGGAGCAGTAGTTGTGGAGTTATCGAGTTTTTGGTGTTTTTGAGAAGTTGAGGGGAGATAAGGGTTTTCTGGGTGCTCAAAGGCCTGTCTCTTTTAGCTCTTTTGGCCATTTACCATCCTTCAGTGGCTCTGTCCATTGCCTCAATCTGCTTCTTGATAGGACCAGCCCTTGTTGCCCTGCACCATACCCCTTCCTCCTCCTCCCTCTTGCACCTCCGCACTTTTTCGCACTTTCACCAGCCCATTCCGCATTGGAACCCCCTCGACCCTATACCCGTTTTGAAGCCCCCATTCATGGCTTTCATTCGCGCCCATCGCCGCCCCGATCCGCTCCGTCGTTCGCCCACCATTCGCGTTTTCCGCCGCCCCTCTATTTTATCGCACATTTACACCATTTTATCTATATCTCCTCGCCCCTCGATCGCGCACCTATTAACCCTATACTCGTTCTGACCGCATTCGCCGCCGCTTTCCATCCGTCCGCCCCGCTTCCAGATACGTCTGCGCGTTCCTCCGCAATCCGCACTTCTCGCGTTTCCCTCCAATTTCCACCATTTCCTTCATTTCTCACCCAGTTCTCCACCAATCCTAGTCGACCCTATACTCATTTCGAAGCCCTCGTTCGCCTCTTTCTATCCGTCTACTCCCCATCGTCGTCCATGCAACCATCATCGCGTTTTACATCACTTTATCGTCGCTGCTCCTCCAGTACTCAAAGCAAAGTCTGGAGATTATCGTTTTAATCGCATTGCCTGACCCTCACTCACTGGCGCAGTTTACCTGGCATACGCGTCAAGGAAACAAAAGGTGTTTGAGGACCCCCAGGTTAGTTTTCTTAGTTTAGCTTAGCTTTGGTTTGCATAGGTAGATGACTGGGGACAGTCATGATTCAAAGTTCCCATGAGATGTAGGGATTCATTTCTGGCTAGGCTTGTAGAGACTGTCTTTACCTTACCTTATGTTGGCACTTTGTAGCTTACATAATGAAGTTATCTTTTCACCAGTTACCAGTATGAGTCTGAGTATTCAGCAAGTTTCTATCATATTTCCTCTTCTCTGAGCCTTGAGCCTGGTCCAGAAACCCTTTAGGGTCGAATAGCAGCTAGGTTCTGCAAGACCCAACATTGTTCAGACTCACCATCTGAATTGTTGTACCTTCAACGGTCGTGTGCGACTAGGATAATCTAACAGCGACAACCACGACAGTGGTACCAAGTGCTGAGAGTCGTCGGCCTTTACAGACAAGCAAAGGTTGCGTACTCGAACGTAGCTCGTGGTGGTTAACGAGGGGTTACGCCGAGATGATAGCGGTTTACAGACAGTGAGAGGCGTCACTGAAGGTACGAGTTGATGTCGAGCAGGTAGCTTTAGCGGGACAAGGAGTTCAAGGGTAAACCTAGTAAGATTAAAGTAAGGAACATCTACTTTAATCTTCGACCTTATATAAGGCTACTCTATCGTGTCTAAGCTCAGCTCGAAGCTGGGTTCTAATCTGCTTATCTACATGAGTCAGAGATAGCGTCCATGAGGCGGGCTTCTATCGTAGATAGCGTCCATGCGGTACACTTCCATCAGAGATAGGATCCACGTGGTATCCTTCTATCAGTACATGAGGCAACACGAGGCTTGCCTTCTATCTTGATAACATAAATAGGTCTTCTAGACCTATGTCGTCATATCATGTCACGTGCGGTCCAGACCGCTTATCTAAGCCGGCAGTTGCTGCTTATCGTCTCTCATCATCTATCATCTATAGAGCTGGTGAGGCTCCGGTGTCGTCTATCGTCTATAGCCGTGCGGGTGGCAGAGGGCTGTCTGCTGGCGGGGGACTCGTGCCATGTTACTGTAACAGCAAATGCTGGTGGAGCATTTCAACTGCACAGACATCAGTGCCCAATATCAACTTTGTCAATGGCTTGATGGCTTACACATGAAGGACTCAGCTGATGCCACTGACTATGTCGGTCAACATGCAGTACTTTGCGAGCACCTTCATGACTCTGGAGCTGCTCTGCACAATGGTGATGCCATTTACAGCTTATTAATTGGGCTTCTGCAAACACCTATATGGCAACAGTTTAAGTTAATGCTTAAACAGCATATGCATGATGAAGTCATGATGGCAGCGGCGGGTACACCCTCACTATTCACAGTCGAAAGCTGTGTCTCTCACATCACAACTGAGGCTGCATGGCATGTGCACACTAAGGCTATTCATTCAAGACCAGGTTCTGAGTATGCTAACACAGCCTCCTCCAATTCAACCAACCCTGGTACCAATCTGATCACCAGCCTTTGCAAGCACTGACACAATCCAGATGGTGTCTTTTGTATCATGCTGGGCTGCCATAAAGGTGACCATGATCATGCACATTGTTATGGTAAGGGGGGTGGGATGGAGGGACAAGCACCCTGGATAAATAATAAAAAGAGAAAGACAGCCATTGCAGTGGTCACGACCACCTCTGCCCCCACACACACTCCTGCTCCCACTCCTGCCCCTGCAACACCAGCTATTGCAGCAGCAGTGACCGGACTCAGCAGTCTCATGGCTGACATGTCCTTCACATCAGTCTCTGAAGTTCTTGACGACGTATCCTACCTCACCTCCCTCCCATTCTCTACCATACTTGACTCCAGAACGACCATGACTCTCATCAAGGATAGATGGTTCTTTCATACCTACTCAATAGAGGGATCGGTCTCCGTTTGCACTGCAAACCATGGGATACTTGAGATGACCGGACGAGGTACCTGCATGGCTTGGCTGACCATCAGACAGTGTTGGTTTCGCATCAAATTGTCAAACTGTTTGCATGCACTGAATGTGATGCTCAACTTACTCTCTGTCAGCTGCATGAATGCAAAAGGGTGTGACATGAACTTCAAGGCAAATATGACCTGTGAGCTCACACACAAGGGAAATCATCTTGGTGCTATCCCGGCAATGAGGAAACTGTACACGTTGGATCTCAAATTCATATCTCTGATTGCGCCATTGTCCATCCCCTCTCAAGAACCTGAATTGTCTGCATTCGCTCACATCCCTCTCACCCTTGACTTATGGCATGCGCGTATAGGCCACATCAGCAAAGAGGCCATTATGTGCCTCGGTCACATTGCAAAAGGTGTTACAATCAATTCTGCAGCCCCTCTATCGCACTGCGAGTCATGCATCATGGGAAAACATCCACGACAGCCTTTCACTTCCTCTGAGATGAAACGAGCCTCCACCTTTCTGGATCTCATTCATAGCGACATCTCTGGACCAATCCCCACCATCACCCCCTACGGCAAGCACTACTTCATCATTTTTCTCAATGACCATATACATGCCCTTGACCTGCAACTATTGGCCTCAGAGAATCAAGCACTCAATGCTTGGCGGTCCTTACATGCTCGCTGGAAGAATATGTCAGGCTCACAGGTGAAGGTTTTTTGTAGTGTCAACAGTGGGGAATTCATTAATGACACTTTCATGGCGCACCTGGAGGAAACTGGAGTCCAGTGTCAACACTCTACCCCCTATGCTCATCAGCAGAATGGGACAGTAGAGAGGGTGATATATACAATTGAAGGTTGTATGTATGCGATGCTGGACTTTGCACATTTGCCTCCAGGACTCTGGGGGGAGGCTGCTCTTACTGTGTGTTATCTGTTCAACCAAACCGAGTCTCATGCCCTCCCCTCGGGTAAAACTCCCTATGAGATGTTGCATGGCATTCAACTGAATCTTGCTCACCTTCGTGTGTTCGGTGTATGCTGCTTTGCCCATATCCTGCCAGAACTGCAACAGAAATTAGGTCCTCAGTCGCAGGAGGCCATTTTTATAGGTTACCCTCCTGGACTTAAGGCCTGGAGATATTGTGACACTGCCATGGGCGTGTTCTTTAACTCTTGAGATATCATCTTTGACGAGAGTCTGACAAACTGCCCCTTCCCAGACAGCGACAATGAAGACAATGGTCATGCTCCCGTCAACCCATCCTGTCCTGCGCATATATCTGCTGTCGCTCCTCCACCTATGGACCCCTCTCATGCTGCCATCATTTATTGGTCTGGATGCATTCCTGTGCACATGGAGAAGGGCCAATCTTACAAAGATTCTGCCTCCTATCAGCAATATTGATCCCATTAATCCTCCCATCATCGACGCACCAATGCCAATGCCTGATCCTCCCATCCCAGAGGCACCTGATCCAGATGCAATCATCCCTGACAACAATGAAGTCCACTTCCTGCAAGTCATCACCAATCTCATTGTCGTTGAGGTCGTGCTACTGTCCATGCGTATTAAGAACATCCTCAAAGGTTCGGATCCAAAGGGCTCAGCTTCAGCTTGTATGCTGCGCCCCTTACCTGAGTGCATGCTCTTAACTTCCAAAGGCTATAGGACATCATCCGATGCACAGGAATTCTGGCGGATGTTTGGAAACAAGATAGAAGACTAATCCGGACAAAGTCCGAACTAGAAAGAAACAGTGAAAGACTACCAGAGGTAGAGGCGGAGATGTTAAGTCTATAGGAATCAATCCTAAGACTATCGGAAGACGACAAGAGGAGAAACTCAAGTCAGACGGAGGCAGGAATAAGCAGAATCTAATATGATATTCGAACTGAGGATGTACAGAGATTTTACAGGGTTTATATACTACGGAAACATAATGGAAGGTCAGTCAGCGTGGTGCAAGGCTATGTACGAAGTATGTGGAAAGCTTATCAATAGTATAACGGAACATAATAGAATGCAGTTGGAAATGAAACAAGGTCCAGATGAACCAGTACAGTCGGATATGTAAATAACCGGAAGGCCAGTAACAGGGACTAACCAAAACGGGACATATGAAAGGAGAAGGAAGTGGAAAGTAAGAAGCGGGTCAGATCCGGACATCTGGAAATGAGTGCATGATCGGTCCAGGTCCAGAACATGGGATATGACAATGCGCAGCAACATTTGTCAAAACCCTCTGGCACCTAACTACAACTTGTGCATCCCACTGGCAACATATGACAAGGCATTGAGGTGACTGGACTGCAACCACTGGCTGGCAGCCATGCAGAAAGAAATGAATTTGATGTTGGAAATGAACATGTACAAACTCATACCTCTACCTGTGAATCAAAGAGCCATTGGCTGCCGTTGGGTCCTTGAATTCAAGGAGGACCTGAAGGGAGGACCTGTCTTCAAGGCCAGGTTGGTAGCACAGGGCTTCTCACAGATCCCCAGTGTTGACTTTGGCTGAACCTTTGCTCCCATCGTGAAATCCGCATCCATTCGCGTCCTGGCAGCCTATGCAGCAGCCAATGACTGGGAGATGGATTGTTTTGATGCAAAGTGTGCCTTCCTCTGGGGGAAACTCCAGGAGGATGTCTACATGTGCCAGCTGCCAGGCTTTGAACATTCCAGCTCTGACAGTGCACATCTCATCGCTCATGTTCTCTCCTCACTCTACGGTGTAGAGATACAACAATTGCTGGATACTACATGAAGTAAGTAACCAGCAATATAAAAATGTGTTGTGGTCGTGCACAGCCTAGTCTGCTATACTTGCAAGACAAGTGCGTTTGACCCGAGGGATTTGCTGTATGGTATTAGAATAATCAGTTATAACAAAAGGAAGATAGTCCGAAGTGCGGGAAACAAAGTCCGAAGGTATAATTACGAGTCCGATGTCAAAAATGTCGGGTCCGATGTTTTTGGGTTTTGGATTAGTGGGTTTGCGTCAGGTTGCGTTGGGTTAGTGTTGGGTTTGCGTTGGGTTTGTGTTGGGAATATAGCGAATGTCAGGGATAGCGAATGGTGGGTTACTGTCAGATGTTTCGGATAAAGAAAGAATGATATTGCAGAATCCAACTAAGAACTACAAATATTGGATGACCTCCTCCTACTCGGAGGTAGAAAGGTAAAGTACATAGGTAGGAGGTATGCGAAATATATAGTATCTATGTAGAATTTTGGAGTGCTATAGGCGAAAGTAGTAGCACTGATTTTCAGGTCCGATGTCC